GAACCCGAGCAATAAAACTTCCATGCGGAGGAAATTACTTTTTTCCTTATTGATAATTAAGTGGCACTTGTCAGTAGTTTAATTTAATCACCAGTTTGACATGTTCAGTGTGCTCTTCAATGCTGCCGGAGAAAATGACAATGTCATCCACGCAAACGCTAACGAAGTGAAGATCTCCAAGCAATTGAGACATTCCTCTTTAGAATATACTGGTCATAGGCTTCAATCCAAATGGAGCACGAGCAAACATATATTGTTTATTCAGGTGCTTAAATGCCGTGTAGGGTTGGCTCTTCTCGTCTAGAGGTAATCCGTGGTGTATGCTTGCGACAAGTCAATTGTAGTAAAATACATATGACCTGTAGCTCGTTCCAATATCTCGGAAATTATAGGGATAGGAAAGTATCAATATCCACGAGCTGCTTATTCATCGTTCTTGGGTCAAAGCAGACTCTGTATTTAATAATTTCGCCTTCTAAGTTCTTCCTTGCCGCAAGCGTAAGAGAGCTGTTGTAGGGTTTACCCTTAGGTGCCTCAACGATAACTCCATCGTCTAATCATTTCTGTACGGTTGTATTGACTTCCATTTCTACTTGCGCGTAGAACCTACGAGAGCGTTCTTGAATCACGCAGTCATCTCTGACTTTTAGATGGACTCGCATAATGTCTAATGGGCAGTGACTCTTAGGGCCAATCTGGCTTTCGGAGCAAAGGAAGGGCTCAATGGCTAATAAGAACTGCTTCTTCTGTTCGATGAATTCAGCTTCTAACTCTTGGTCTTTCAAAGTAGAGGGTACAAGTAGTGGTTTATTTTCATCAGTTAAGGAATCATCTGCTTTTTCAACAACAGTCGTAGCTATGCCATGGATCCCAAAGCCGAAGCGGTAAAATAGATCCATTCCGATGAGGAAGTCGTAATAGCCCAGAGGCATAACGCTGACTATGCATTCTACTGTCCGATGATTACAAGAGAGAGTAATAGCATCTACTGTGCCGACATTGTGAAAACCAGTAGTGTCGTCTGCAAATTTAATTACAGTATTTTTCGAGGTCGCGGTCCTTAATTTGAGACCTTTAGCAACTTCTCGATTAATGAAGGATACATTGGAACCAGGCTGGGATACGTCGTTGCTCAACAACTTGGCCAGACATATTTTTTCGATATGCATCCATATATCGAAAGCACTTCCTTGCGTATTTTCGAATGGTGATGATGTCCACTGAGCTTAAAGCCTTTGGGATGGTCTCCTGTAGCCCATTGAATGTGTAATCGCAATTTGCTCTGGTGTATCGCTTGCTTGCGCCCCAAAACATTTCAATGAAGTTCAATTCGCAATGGAATTTTGGATAGAAAATGACTTGCTGTCCGTGTTTCTTTGCAATTTCTTCCAAAAATGATCGTTGTGCCTGAAAGTCCGGCTGCAGCTTCAAGATACGAGTAGGCAACATGAATCTCTGAAAACAGAGTGATCACTCTCCTTACAGCTCGCGCATATCTTCTTGAGCCCCTCCCTCCAAAGCTTTCTTTCAATGAGAACCCGTTTCATCCCTTTTGGTTGGTTTCGCATTTCTGGCCTGTATATATGGGTGTCATTGATCCTTCCTGTTGGTTCGATTTCCAGATGAAGGACGGGATGAACTCCTGTCGTAGAGAATGAGCCCTTATTAGTCTGCAATCCTTTTGTAGTAAAGTTATTGATGAACCAAGCACAGGGATTATTCTTTTCACCCGTGAGGACGCTTGGATTCGCTCTAATAAAATCTAGCAAATGACCTACGTCTTCTATAGCGTCTAAGGACTTGAATTCTCCGAAGACTCTTTCTTGTCCAGCATCAGCCAACGCCGTTATGATTTTGCCGTAAAGGAGCACACCCATGGGCTGCAGCCCTCCAGCCTCAACAATCGACTCTATTCTGTCTGCGAAGGTATTTGCATCTTCATGTGGCAAGACAGTAAGGTCTGTTATCTGGCAAGTGATCCAGGATCGGATTAAATCGAGCTTCAGGATCGAATGGATGCTCCTTTTGACTTGCTTCCACGAGCGATCGCCATAGGCTTCTGTCTTTATCAGGCGATTGTACCTGCTGTCCAAGCGGATCTGTTCTAGAGCAAATCCCATGTATCGCCAGGCTAAGTCCTCGAAGAGATCGTCCGTCAAGAAGTTATGATAGTATGTCTCGAAAGCCTTGAGGAAGTCGATAACGGTTCTTGCCACCTTTAGAGCTATCTCTTTCTCAGGTACATTGTCCAACTGGAATTTAAGCGTAGGGGCATTTGCCTTCTTTTCCAACTGGACCCTTGAGAAGTCGATTTCTTTGGTAATCATGTCTAGGACAGGGATCCGTTTGTAGTTGAAAACTCGGATCAATGCAGCATGTTTCTTGATTTCGTAATCAGGCGCGATATCAAGACTACCGCTGTCCTGCATATCAACTTCGCTGGGAGAAGAATCGGCTCGTTGCTTGACAATCAGGTGGCGTTCCATGCTGATGGCTTCCTGGGCTTCAAGGTGATCCTTGATTAGCTTGTAATGAGCTTCAGCCGCGTCATAGTCTTCTTGTATTAATAAAAATTGTTTGACGCCAATGAAATCATGCCAATACAAAGAACTAATATAAAAAGCAACTGCTTACCCGGGCGTTCAACCATGATATTATCCATCGAGCCAGGACCATATATGTGTAATCTTCTTTTGTTACCGAATAGAGCGAAAATCCAGAAAACCACCGTAAATAAAAGAAGTCATATAAAATCTGCTCGACTACCTAGTAAATCTGCATCTTCTTGGTAGTGAGCAAGAACAGAAAATGAAAACCCAAAGGGAGGCTGAAAAGGGCGGGACATATATGATCCTGGCTCTCGGATAATAAGCTTAAGTCGTCGTGTTATTCGACTTGGCCAGCTATGAATTGTGTTTTTAGGAGGTGCAGCAAAGACATGTGAGATTTCAACTATTGGGTCCCCAAGCTCAAACAGTGTACTATCGTTTTCCTCTTTTAAACTGGTGAGAGTAATTTGTCTTGTTGGGGACGATGGAATGGAGACGTGGAAGAGCTTTAAAGTGTGGGCATCCATGTCTCTAAAGTCATTGATTCTCTTCTTTTTAATTGCATCTTTAAGATCGCCGACAGTGTCATCGATTGAGACATCAATTGGGAATGGCGAAGATACTCCATCAATGATGCAAAAGAGTTTGTGCATTTCAGGGGTGAAGATCAATGAGAAGGGTTGAGCAGTAATGATTGTTTACATGAAGATTTGTATGACTGTTTTTTAAAGTATGCACCAAGCTAGATACCATGGCTTCGCCACGGCCTTCTCTTGCCTCGCTAGAAATTTCATGACGACAAAATAAAGCGTTACCATTTATAACTTTTATTGACTGACTTTTTATATTTATCTCATTCAAACACATTTACCTCTCAGCGATATTGAAAATGCTCCGCCACCATTCTCTCATGGTTATCAATTCAGGAACATTTCTTTCCTGTCTATTTACAAATAAGCTTGGGCCTACACAATGAGCAACAAAAGCATTTACTTATTTTTTTATTCAACTCATACAATCAAAGTTTTGGTAGAAAACCATTCAGCTATTCTCAGCTTTTGCCTTCCCCTTTTTCTGAGTCAAGGAACTTGACCCAGAGGATACTTAGCTTCTAAATCTTGTGTTCTCGTTAAAAGAGCTTTGATAGTCTTTTCTTGCTCGAGAATAGTCTTGTCTAGATCATCAATCCTGTTGTATGCACCTCGGACCCCTTTCACTCCAATCATGATTTTCGAAAGTTGTTTCATGCATCAATATAGATCGCAGTAGAGAACTGAAAACCTTTTTTTTTTTTTTTTTTTTTGATGACAGAATGAAAGCCTTGGTTGGTTCTTGTCAGGCAGAACTTTACTCATATGAGCACTCGCGCAGTATCTACTCAATAGAGCGGCGTGAATTTATGATAAATGGTGACATCAAAGGTGGCAACGGTCAAGTCAGTTCACTCGTGTTCAGCTTGCAGCCGTCCGCTGAACACAGCTGTGCCATCAAAGCAGAAAGAATGAGCGTTGATAGACTAATGCCACAGAATTATTTGTATTTCCGCCATGACGCCCTCGGTCAGATGTTCGCTATTTTCTGGTTGGTCAAAACATTTACACGGCAGAAAAGGGAAGCAGACATTGTCCACCTTGGTAAAATTAACCTTTTAATGAGTATGCAAAGAGCTATTGAGTCAAATATAATGAGTAGTACAAAATAGTGCATTGTATAGACATATAAGAAAAAAAAAGGAAAAATAAAAAGGAAAAAAAAAAGGAAAAGAAAAAAAAAAGGAAAAGAAAAAAGAAAAAGAAAACGGCATAGCGGAAATTGAAAATCGATAATAAGCGCACCTGTGATATCATTTGTCAATTTTCATATGCTTACAAGGTGGAGAAAGCGAGTGTTAATATGCCTGTGCTCTGAATCTCGTCCATTTACTTTAGCTCGCTGTCTAAATAGATATTTCTTTCTTTGTTGCACCACCTTAGCATGCAGAGAGAGCAATGTGGCTCGTGCTCTGATTGCAGCCTAATATTGTTGTTTATATGATCTTGCAGATCTTGAAGACGGAAGACGGAATGTTAGCAGTGCTTTTCCCCACCTCCACCCATGAGTGCTTTCTCTTTTCCCTCTTGTATGCATATGAAAAATGACGGATGATATCATGTATTGCGCATATTATCCATTTTCAAATTCCGCTACGCCGCTTTTTTTTCTTTTTTTCTTTTTTTCCTTTTTTTTGGCCGCTCTAGAGCTCTAGAGCGTACAAAAAGCAAGATGCTTGATATATTCATTATTCAGTCAATACTCTGAAATCGCAAATTGGTTTCACTTATCATTTTTCCTGCGCGACTTCAAAAACCACTCATCATTCATCCATTCGTCCTTTACACGCGAGTGCTTTCGATATAAAATAGACTTTTTTTTTCTTTTCTTTTCTTTTCTTTTCTTTCTTTCCCTTTTTCTCTTCTCTTCCAGTTCAGCCTCATCGACCAACATGAAAGGTAAGCAACACTCCACAAATATTCACCCTTACTAAAGTCCTAACTCTCTCACCTTATGCTGCACTGTACTTGTTCTGACTTTTCATTCCCTGTCTATCTCTCTTTCTCTCTCTTTCACACCACTGTTAGACCACAAATGATACAAACTTCTAGCCAGATACAGAGCAGAGCTAGGAAACACTCTGAACAACTCAACAGCAAACTACAGACCAGAAAAAGCAAAAAAAGCCTCACCTGGTCATTCACAGAAGAGCCCTCGCCGCTGTCATCAAGTAAGTATATAGATTATGTATGCCTTCGCTTTGTCTTGCTTGTGATTGTCCCTACCATCAAATAAGCTTAGCATACTTACAAAGTTATCTTCGTTCTTTTTTTTCGTCTTCCTCCTTCTAGCTGTAATAGGGGCCACTAGCCCTAGGCTCATGGCGACGATTGTCCCAAAGACTGCAATGGGCCCATGCAGTGCTTATCGAAATGGGGCGAAAGCGGAGCTGTAAGTACAATTTCTTTTAGAGTACATGTCGTGACTTTCTGTCTGTACTCTGCTGTGCTCTGATTACCAAATATTCTAACCACGCGTGTTTTTTTTTGTCTTCTTCCCTTAAAGGCTCATCCGCTTGGGCTCTAGCCCGCCGGGCCCTCCATCGGGCCATCCTCCCGCCTGCCCGTCGATCCCCTTCGCAGACCCCTCCGTCAAGCCCTCGCAACTCCTTGAAGGGGGATCATTGTAGTAGCTCTAGAGAGCCTCTAGCCTCTGGACCTTACTTTGATCCGAGTGCCCTTGGGGATTTCGCATAGGTAACAGATGACACACAGTTGTGGTCGTCTAAGTATGGTAAGTCAGTAACAGTGGCCTGTTTACTAGGCCTATAGAGCTCAAGTCTCGGCCCTCAAGGAGGTCCCCCCTCCAGCAGGATCAGGATCAGGACCAGGATCAGGATCAGGTGTTATCAAGGCCTGATAACACCTCAGGTAAGTATACATGCGCATACATAGCAAGGAGCATATTAACTTGATTCTACCATTGCTTTTGTTCTCTCTGTTTAGGTGGGATCTTGGCAACTCGGAGCTCTATAGTGTTTAGTAAATAGTTCATTGTTACTGACACCATACTTAGATCACCCCAATTAGCGAAGCTGCACCAGGCGCCTGGCTGTAGTGTGTAGTGCATGGCGTAGAGGCGTCATGTTGTGTGACCTGTTACCTGCCGTCTGAACCAAAGGTACTCTGGTCATAGTAGGGCTTCATAGGCTAGTCGTTCGATAGACTATTGCAATGAGACCTCTGCTTGGAGAAGCGAGAGCAAGGGTCATAAGGGGAGTAGAGGGCCTTGAGGCATAAAACTAGATCGAAGAGCGCCATGCTTCGAATGCGGCTTGGAGCGCAGGGCCAACAGAAAGCAGACAGCAGCCGAGGGCCGAAAGCCAATAGTCAAGAGCCAGCAGTCAGCAGTCAACACCCAACATCCAATAGCAGAAAAAAAAAAAAAAGAAGCAAATAACCAAAACACAAAACAAAGAACACAAAACAAAGAACAAAAAAAAAAAGATAAAAAAAAAGATAAAAACCGAAACACAGAGTAAAGAACAAAAAAGATGAGGAAAAGAAAAAAAGAAATAACTCAAAAAAAAACACTCAAAGTCAAAGGCAGCCTCAGCCAAAGCTATAACAGGCAATGGGACTTTTGCTTGGAGAAGCGAGGCCTACGGTCCATGGAGGAAAGCAGAAGGCCTGGGAAAGAGCATCAGACCGAGGTAGAGCGCCTGGAGAAATAGCCTCAGAGCTAATAACCAACAGCCAACAGCCAACAGCCAACAGCCAACAGCCAACAGCCAACAGTTAACAGCCAACGGTCATATAAAAACCCCAAAAAAACCAAAAAAAAAAAAAAAACCAAAAAAAAAAAAAAACTTCAAATGAAAATAAAAAAAAAAAATAAAAACTTCAAAAGAAAAAAAAAAAAAAAAAAAAAAAAAAAACCCCGAAGCCAGAAGCCAGAAGCCAGAAGCCAGAAGCCAAAGTCAGAAGCCAGAATCCAAAAGTCAAATGCCAGAAGCCAAATGCCAGAAGTCGGAAGTCAAAAGATCGAAGCCAGAAGCCAAAAGTCAGAAGCCAGAACCCAGAAGCCAAATGCCAGAACCCAGAACCCAGAAGTCAAAAGCCAGAAGCCAGGAACCCAAAAGTCAGAAACCAAAAATTAGCAGATAGCAGTCACATCACTGCAAAAAAAAAAAAAAAAAAAAAAGCCAACCAGCTCACTCCACTCAACCAAAAGAAACCTCATTGAAAACCAGCCAAGGCCCAAAGTCGGTAGACGGTTGGCTCAGCCATAGCAGCTAGAGACTGCCTCAGCAAAATTAAAGACAGAAAACCTTAGTCAAAGCAATCGAAGGCAGCCAGGCAACCACAATTAATCAAACACAGTTTGCTGCAATCAAGGAAATCAAAGACTACCAAAGCCAAAGTCGACCAAGGGCAACCTATAAGAGTCCCGATAATCAAAGGCAGTCAACCAAGGGAAGCTAACCCAAAGCCAGGCCACTAGGGCCAGTCAACCAAGGTTTCCAAGGCCAGTTAGCCAAGGCGCCATCAAAGAATATGCTAAAAAGCAACATCAAAAGAATCCAAGCCGACTAGGAAATGTTCGGTTCATGCAAACGTACCATGGGCATCGCCACTCTTGGGCCAGGATGCAGCTTGGAAACCACAGCATAGTAAACAATTAACAATAAATATTAAAAGGCAAGATCAGACACAATGATCTTTGTCTTTTGTCTGAAAATGTGATGGATCTATGACTATTGTGAATGCGAAATAGGAATAGAATGTTGGTAGCGATAATCAATAGTAAAGCCAATGGATTAAGCTGTGCCAGCTATCGGTAGCAAGCTACTCGGTAATATATAGCTGGCTATATACTTACATTCACTCATCCACGGCCTTGAAGAGCAACCCAATCAAGCACATGAATACCTTAGTGGAGTTGTGGACGTGTATTGTTACAGGCGCTTACCGTGTTACAGTGCGTTCACATTTGCACTGTCTGTGCCCTCATTGACTACAGCAGTTAGTAAAGGAGACCATCTTCTTTATCCTCTTCTTCTATTCTCTTTCTTCACTCTTAACAAGAGATGGGATAGACTATGTGGGAATTATACTTTGGCAGATTGCCGTTTTTCCAGAGTTTGATAGAAGATAGCACATGACAATCCTCAAGATACCTCTGCGCCTTTTAATTTTAATTTCTATATTTTCATGCAAGACAATATGGAATATGTAGATTAATGATTAGATTTTATAACTTCTTTGTTTGAAGGCGAAATAAAGTATCAACGTTTATGTATCGACCAATAAAAGGCATCCAACCGTGTCGAGGGAATGACGTGTTGTATCTCCTTGGCGTTCCGAAAGTTAAAAAAAAGGAAAAGTCTGTTCGAACAAAAATTGCTAAAGCACAGTTCCCACGATATACACAAACGACATGGCATACACGTGAGTATCAACAGTATCAACATTTCCATGAGCAACGCTGCTTTATGAGCCCTCTTTAGTGCTATACCATGCTGCCTTGGCCATCTTTTGTCCACTTGGTATTTCTCCACATTATTGTTTCACTGTCATCAAAGAGAGTGCTATATAAAAGAAAGGGCAAAATTAGGGATAAATAATAAAAATGTACATGAAGGATAATACCGCCGCCTCGCACCATGACTGTATGGACATGACTAATATTGATGTGTGGCTGTTTGCTCTCAGAGACAGGTTGCCATCATTCATGTGGCATCTGGAAGTAAAAAAGGTCAATTTTATCGAGATGGACAATGTGTCCCTTGTCTGCCGTGTGAATATTCAGATTCAAAATGGACTCTGACCAACCAGAAAAAAGAGTGTTCAAACGAACATCTGACTGAAGGTGTCATGGTGGAAAAATAAATGACATTGCGGCGTTCCCTCTGAACGCGTTATCTCTTTAGATTTTCAATACTACTTTATCTCATTCGTTTAATATTACAACCTACCCACCCACAATGACTTTCTTTATTGCTGGAGAATGATAGTTATCAGTATTTATTATTATTTAACATTTGGCAGCAGGGATGCTCAGTTCCTTTGCGTCGCTGTAAAATATCGTATCGACAACACAAATGGAAACAACAAGTATAAAAAATCGATAGCTATAAAGGAATAAAAATATGCTATACCAACTGAGCTATTCTCAAAAGGGTCAACAGCCGAGTCGTTTGCCGAGATTTAGGCAGCAGGTCACAGTCTGTCCAATCCTGATCCTAAAAAACAAATGGAAATAGACCTTACTTTACCCCTTTCACTCCAATCATGGTTTTCAAAAGCTGTTTTCATGCATCAATATAAGCCGCAGTAGAGAACTCTTTAATCTTATTTGTTGAGGGCAAAAAAATGAAAGCCTTTCATTTTGGATGACCGAATGAAAGCCCTGGTTGGTTTTTGTCATGCAGAACTTTGCTCACATGAGCACTCGCGCAGTATCTACTCAATAGAGCGGCGTGAATTTATGATAAACGATGACATCAAAGGTGGCAACGGTCAAGTCAGTTCACTCGTGTTCAGCTTGCAGTCGTCCGCTGAACACAGCTGTGTCAGCAAAGCAGAAAGAATGAACGTTGATAGTCTGGTTGTAACTGAAAGTGTATGTGTGTATGCTGTGAGAGAGGGGCAACAAGTCAGTCATACGTCTTTTTTTTTGTATAAATACCTCTCCTTTTCACACATACACACTCAACTCTCTTTTCTTTTTACATTTCATTTGCAGAAAAGAATCTTCACATAAACACACTCTATTCATATCTCATATCTCTTTTTTCCCATTGAATAAACACCGCCCTGCATCACCTATAGTCACTCTCTTTTATTTTATTTTTTTTAAAAAGCCCTTGTCCCCATAATCAGTTCAGCTTTTAACAGTACCCACTTATCAGCACGACTCAGCAGCGAGTCAACTATCGATTCACAAATATAAGGTAACTACATGTAATAAGCATAACAACACCGTTTCCGAGATGTGATGTTACCAACTTTGCCACCACTTTACATCATTGTGCAATTCTTTTTTTCTCTAATGTTACCGAGAAGAAAAGTACAGGGTGTTGAAGTTATCATATTGAAATCTAAAGCCTAAAGGCTTTGGGAGCCTCAAGACGCGTGTCATTGAAAACTGAAATAAAGAAAATCTAACTTTTGTTTAATTCTATTGGCATTTCCATAGCATCTGTCACCTCTATCAAAAGAGTCGCTATTGACCTATTGTTTGGGTTTATGTTCATCACAAGGCTCATGCCCCTGCAACACACCCTAGCAGAGCAACTGTAGCAATGAGCGGCGAGGACCATATTCCGGCAGAGGGAGCCAAGACTCCGTCGCGTAAAACTAAGACTAAATCACACAGTAAGTTTGTTTACATCTTTTTATTTCCTTTTGTGATGTCCATAATAGGAAATGTACCGTTCGATACCATTTAGTTATCCAGTATTCCAATGCTCACCCATAGAGTACTCATTCTTTTTATTTATTATTACTCTTTTCGGTGATTATTAAAATGGTTTGTGGTGATTCAGCTGGCACTCCAGTCCAGCAGCGACGTAGCGATAGAATTCGCACGAAGATGGCTGCAATTGTTAAAGATGGTAAGCATTATATATATATAGATACACTGAAAGAAATTCACGATAGACAATAGACTGACGTTAATGTTTTTCTTTTCTTTTTTTTTTTTTTCTTTAATAAAGTGGGGGACTCAATCACACCCCCACATAGGTCTTATATTCACTCCAAGTTCCCATCACATATGGGACTTCTCGGTACCTCTGCGTCTCCGAGAGGAGTCGAATTAGACCAATATAAAAGAAGGCTTCAGTTTAAGAGCGGTACGCGAAGCAACCTGACGCTGACAGACGCATATAGGAACTTTGAAAGGGATGTCAAAGTCCAAGAGTTCCATGCGGATCAGCGGGGCAAACGCAACAGTGCCCATTTAAAAAACCGTGGTTGTAAGTTATCTATCTATTTGTTTTCTTCAATTCTATTTATTTATTTATTTATTTATTTATTTATTTATTTATTTATTTATTTATTTATTTATTTGGAGAATGGAAGAGAAATGGGTATTAACTGTATATCTAATCTCATTTTGTAAATGATAATAATATTATTCCAAAAGTGGTCGTGGCTGCTGGCTCCAAAGCCCGACAAACCAGCGTAACCGCTACGCAAACTGAAGCCGGGCCAGCCAAAGTACAGGCTGCTCCACACCATACTTTGCGACCAGGTGTGGGGCAGGGCTCTGTACTAGAGTCGAATCCAGAGGTGGGCACCCTGGCCGAAACCACCCTGGAGAGACGCAGGAGGCAATATAACCAAATCAGGTCCCGCCATATTGCCTCCAATTATACCAGTTGGGAAGAGCGGGACCAACACTGGCGAGCCAAAAGATTAGCAAGCTACAAAGCTTTATCTAAGGCCGCCAGAGAGACCGCAGTGTTCAAGAAGCGAAACTGTAAGCAGTTTTAAAAGACGCAAATAACATAAGGAGTTGGATATTTTCAAAATGGAACATTGATTATTCTAACCATCTGTTTTAACTATACAATAGTGGACATTTGCGGATGGGGAAACTCGCGAAAAAATCTCGGCAACTACCTCAGTATTTGCTGGGATTATAATTCAGACCTGGATGAAGACAAAGACCAGGCTCTTCCAGAGCGTGCTCCATCCACTCTTCAATATCGCAACGCTGCCGGAACAGTTGTTGAGTCCGGCGTGATCTATCATCCGCAGACTATTGTCGACGGAGATAATGATCACCTGAATGGATACTGTTTCACAGTCCAGTCAGAGCTTGCCTTGAAGTTTGAAGCAGCACAGCGGGTCTTGTTTCAACAGGCGAGTGACCTCATTCAGGGCTCCTTCTTCCAATACAATATGGACCTGTCTTTGGATTCCAGTCTTGATGACGGATTCACCATTGATATTTTTGTGTCGTCGGCCCCTTCAAAGGATTTGGCCGACATCACAGTCCGAGGGGTGACGCAGTTCATCTTTATGAAGTCGTACATTTATGTCGACAAGATCTGCGTCGCACAAAAATATCAGAAAATGGGAATCGGGGCTTTTTTGATGGATAGGATCCTCAAAATCGCCCAGAAGCGGAACAAAGACATTCTCTTGTACGCACTTGGCCCTGTTATAGGTGCGTACAAGAGATGGGGGTTCGAATATTGTAAAGAGTGGCCGCCAATCCCCAAGGACGTTGGCGCGGTCATGCGGAAGCGTATCCGCACAGAAGGAGTCAAAGACGAATATGTTGGCCTGGAGTGGGATGGTACAGGCTTCTCTTAGGTCGCAGAGAGCCCAATCCACTTCCAGGCCAGCACGATACCCTTCGTCTTTTACTATAGTCCTTGGTTTTTGTTTTATTTCCGCGATGTATTATATATATATTTATTTGCTTATTTTTGCTATGTACCATTATCACCACCATCATTATTAGAATCATTATTATCATCATTAAATTATCATCATTAAATTATCATCAGTATTGTCAGCATTGTCAATGGCATTAATTACTCAGTGTATTCTAATAAACTTTATTAATTTATTTTCTTGTTTAAAAAAAAAAAAAGCTTCTTTCAGCAACAACAGCAGTCAAATTTGACCATCACTTACTTACACTTCATCTAATCTATTGTCTAGTTTCATTCAAACCATTGAGAGGGAGCCCACTAATCTTACGAATGAGGCAGCACACAGAGAGTGGAAAAAGACGCTTCTCATAAACTAGTTCATGAATCTGGTATTGATTAGCAGGAACGTAAGAAGCGTCTGCGGCTAATTCCACCAAGTCCACCTGCTGCACTTAATCCATTTAATGTACCGACTCTGAATGCTCTACGGAAGCGAAGAAATGAGACTAGAGAGTTCCAAAAGAATAAGAAAAAGAGCTGGAAGCAATGAAGAAGCAAGCACAAAAAAAAGGATCCTCCTACAAGGAAAAAAGCCACACTTGCAAGCTTTTGATCAAACCAGCCAGGAAGTTTTTGATGGCAGCAAAAGGGCCACAGCAAGAGAAGAGGAAATGATGGGAAAAGAGTAAAGAGGTGTTGGAGAAAGTAAGAGAGCTGGATAGATGAAAGTTGAATAAGGAGTCCTTACATTAAGCCAGTAACGAAAAAGTGTTCAGATCAAAGCGGAAGTGAGGATAAAAAAGAGGCCAGAGGGAAGGCTGGTGGAAGCAAGAAGCAAGACAGTGTCAAGTCAACTGAGAGAGAGTTGAAGAGTGAAAGAAGTTAAGCTGAAAGAGTAGGAAAGAGACTGGAAAGTGATGAGGAGGAGTAAAGTGGGAGAGGGAAAAGAAAGAGTAGAAAGGAGTGTAGTAGGAAGAAAGTGAAACCTGTCACAGGAGGCACAGACAACAAAACGTTATGAGGAAAATGAAATGAAGGGACCAAACTTCCATTACTGAATAGGCAAGTTGATCGTCCGTAGTAACTTTATCATATCCTGTATTTTGCGAAGACTCTAAAATAGTGCATGGCTGCTTTGTTGCAAAGAAAAAACTGTTTTTGCTCTCGACCGATCACTTTGGAGATCCATAGCTCCTCAAACTACTGGCCCCTAGGGCCTAGCTCTTGCATCAACCAGGAGGGAAAGTCTGACTCTACCAACCAGTGAAGTTTCGAAAAATCCAACACGGCCCCACCTGTATCCTAAGTGTAATTTCCATCCAAGTGCAAGGTGTTGTTGCACTTGTCCGCTTTAAATGCACTTGCCGCCAATTATGAGTCTATACTAGCTTAATTGGCCTTTATTATCCTCGTAGCCATGGTCCATATGTGACTTCAGAGCGAACCAAAAACCGATGTCGTCAAATTTGAATGGGTTTTGCGGGAAACACGGTAGTGTTTGTTGAAAACCTTGTCAGACGACCAATTCCCTTGAACCATGATATCTTGGGTTGATACGCCAGCGATGGCTGCCAAGGTTGATCCTATAGCGCGTGGCTTTGGAGGAGGCCGTTTCGACGGAAGATTTGGAATCCGACGTGTGATTTCATTCATAAAAGTGCCTATGGTACTGACCCTAAGGACTTTGGACTTGTCTTTCACAAAGTGCATAAGAGGATTGAATTTATAATCCTGATCTTTGTGGTGCTCGATTTCGAGAGGTGTGTCCGCTATCCGTCTGGTGTATTCTGTATAGGCCTCGACTGGGCAAATTTTCTTGTCGTTAGGGTGTCTACCCACGAAGATCGACTTTATGATGCGCTGCCCATCGCGCCGTTCCTTAGGAAGACTATGGTAAGGAGAAGACCCTTTTCATTGATCTCTGACTTTGACACATCGATGCAACCGATATCATCTGGCCGGAGAAACGCACAAGCGCCTAAGAGCCAACAGAGCTTGCGAGAGAGCTTAGGCATATCAAGATCCACATTGTCCTCCATGCGGAAGTATGAAAGGATGGGTGAAATGTCGAGTGCGGATACGTGCTCCATTTGAAATACGCCAGTACTTTTCATTGCTGGCATGAACCGTTGAAAGTAAATGTTGCCTGTGATCACGGATGTGTATTCGTAAAGTTTTAAGATGGCTGATTTTTTGTTAAGAGTGGTATTCCTACTCCAAGAATAAATAATCCGCGCATGGCATAAATAGTTAACACAGCAATTGCATTTGGCGTACTAGGGTCGAAGCCTTCTTGTTGAGCCCATACTGCGAAAGCTTCTTGAGTTGGAAGATATTGTCGACGTGTTTTGCTGTTGGCACCCGCTGAATCTAGTAGAGTGACAGCGGATGGTGTGAGTCCTGCATCTAGATCTTTACGTCGCCTCTTATTCTCCATGCTGTCAATGACCAGAGTGGATTCTTGCTGAGGAGACCGCTTGCGCTTCCGACGGCTGGTAGGACTGCTTCCCGAGGGATCGGGATTGGTGGTGCTACTGCCATCTCCTTGATGGTTGGGAACCATATTGCACTCGGCCACCATGGGGTTATTACTGTTGCTGTCAGCTTCTGGGTCTGTATTCTCTCCAAGATTATTGATAGAAGATTCCATGGGGGGCAAATGTAAAGGTTGCCCATCTCTGTCCAGTTGTGTTGAATGCAGATGGGATGTATGTCGTCCGTAGTCGAGTCCCCGTTGCTAGGCATTATCCATCGAGCCAGGACCATATATGTGTTATCTTCTTTTATTGCCTAATTTAGCGAACTTTTCAGAAAACTACCCTTAAATAAAAGAAATAAACTATATAAATCTGCTCTGCTACCAAGTTGGATCTGCATCTTCTTGATAGTGAGCCAGGAAAAAATAGTAAAACTAAAGACAAAGGGTGGGTATAGGGTGGGACATATATGGTCCTGGCTCTCGGATAATAAGCTTAAGTCGTCATGTTATTCGACTTGGCCAGCTAGTGACGCCATAACATGTCCGCTAGTGTCATTAATTCCGGAGACCTCGTCCCTCCGAACCTGTTGATGTGTGCAATCGTCGTCGTGTTGTCGCATATGATGTTGATCATTTTGCCCTGTGTTATTGGTAGTTGAACAGCTCGAAGAACTGTCTGTAGTTCCTTCCAGTTGATGTGGTGGTCTTTCTCTTGTGGAGTCCATTTGCCACTCCATGTTTGATTGTTGATCACGATCCCCCATCCGGTGTCCGATGCATCCGTGTATATGTCCATTTGTGTCTGTTGTTGAATCCATGACAGACCATTCCATGACGTCAGTTGCTCCTTCCACCATTGAAGGTTCTCCTTGGCTGGTTCCGTGAGGGTGACCAAGTTCGACCAAGAAGCTCCCTTGGCTTTTAGTGCTGTGTTCTTGAGCTGAAGCAGATTTCGTGTCATGAATCGCGCTGGGAACACTGCCATAGATGTTGCCATTGCCTTCCCGACGAACGAAGAAAGTTCCCTTAAAGAAGTGGCGCCTTTTCGTAGCAGCTTTCCCGCCTCGCGTCGTATATCCCTGACTTTGGATTTCGGAACTGTGACAGTCATATCTCTGGAGTTGATAGTGAAGCCTAAATGATCTATCTCCTGTGATGGGGTCAACGTAGATTTGGCTTCCTTGATGAGGAATCCTAGCGATGCCAACTTGTCTTGTACTAGTTGAGTGAACTGGATTGATTGCTCTTTGTTATTGGCTAGGATTATCAAATCGTCTAGGTACGCTGATATGCGAATTCCTCGTCGTCGTGCCCATTTGAGGAAAGGCTTGAGAACCTTGGTGAACACTAGCGGAGAGAGTGAGAGACGGAAGGGAAGTGTACGGAATTGAAATTTCCGGTTCTTCCATTGGAACTGTAGATAATGACGATAATCTGGATGGATTAGTACATGAAGAAATGCATCTAATAGGTCGATGCTTGTCATAAAGTCGTTCTTTTGTAACATTGCGCATACTGTCGCCATCGTTTCCATTTTGAAGTGCCGCTCTGAGACGTAGGCATTCAATGGTCTTAGATTTAAGACTGGACGAATGTCCCCGGTTTTCTTGGGGATAGTGAATATGCGGCTCTTGAAACCAGGACCTGAAGCGACCTCTATTGCTCGTTTGGCTAAGAGTGCGACAACCTCTTGATCGCCTTCTCTTCCTCCGCTGCTACTCGAGCTTGGTACGCTGTTGAACTGGATATCGGTGGCCGTTTGTGGAACGGGATCTTGAATCCCTCGGAGATGACCGACTTGACCCATTCGTTGTCGGCTATGAGAGCCCATGCTTCCCGGTAAATCTGTAAACGGCCACCTACTGCTGGCCTGCAGCCTGTGACTGACTTGTCTGGTTGGATTGAGGGGTTTGGTAGCCTCGGCCTCGTCCCCCTCTCCTTGGAATTTGGCCTCGCCCAAAAAAAGAACCATTGTCATTTTGATAGTGGGCGGTCTGAGTTTGACCCGATGGATGAGATTGGCTAGAATTAGAAGTGGGTCTGTAAGTATTGCGCTAAAGAAACTCCGGTTTTGAGTCCTCCTGTTGTATGCCCGTTGTCTTGTCGGGTTAGTAGCCTGACGAACACTCTTTGCCAATTTGCTGGCTTCAATGAAGTCTGAAGTAGAGACAATTGGTGGATCAACTGTGTCCTTGGTGACTGAAATTTTGTGCGCCTGGTAAACAAGGTCCTCTCTGTCGCTTGACATTTGCTGTGCCAGGTGTGCGATATGTTCACGCATTGTCTGTGCGAGCTGTAAACACGCTTGTGCGACCGCAGGGTCAACTTCGTAGGAAAACATTTCCGTGGCAAATTGATCAAGTGGTCTTGTAAGGTTTGCCAATCGTGATTGATAGCGTGAGATTGTTTTGTCCATGGAACTGTGGTGAGAGGAAGAGTCGGGCCAGTCAATGAGT